TTTCTATGTGTCTGAAAATAGCAAAGTATCTCCAGCATATTTGATGAACACTTTTGCTGAATATAAAAATCTTGGTTGGCAATTTGTTTCTTTCACAGTTTTCTATATATCGTTTCATTGTCTTCTTGCCTTCATGATTTCCACTGGGGAATCAGAGCTTAGTCTTATTAGTTCTCCTTTGTAGGTAACTTTTTTCCTGAATTGCTCTCAGGATTCTTTCCTTATCTTTGGTTTCAAAAAGGTTGATTATAATATGTCTTGGTGTTTTTCTTAGGAAGTCTATCCTGTTTAGTTCATAAAACTAGAATGGCTATCATCTCATCTTTCATAACGTTGGAGATATTTTCTTCAAACAACTCTTGGATATTATTCTTTATGGTTTTGTTTTGTCTTGTTTTTATGTCTCTTTCTGACTTAGAATTCCTGTCAGATGTGAGCTTTCCTATTGATAATGTTCCACATAAATCTTAGGCTTTCTTTGGATTTGTTTTGTTCTCTTTTCTGATTGTTCCTCTATCAGATGAATATTAAGAGATTTTTCTTCAAGCTCAGTAATTCAGCTTTCCATTAATTCACTTCTATTTCTTTGCCCTTTCAGTGTGTTATCTATTTCTGACGTCTTATTTTTAATCTGATTGCTGTTTTTGTGTGGTTCCTAATTTCTTCCATTATTATTTAAGTTTGTTTCCTGAATTTTTCCATAGTTTTATCTGTTTTCCTTGATTTAATCTGTAGTTATCGTGAGCTTTCCCACAATCTGTTGGTGCTACCTAATTATCATACTTTTACATTCCTTTTCAGGTAATTCCAGTACCATTTCTGGTGTTATGTTTTTTGACTCTTTATTTTGGTCACTTGTGTGAAGCAATCTATTTTAGTCCAGTGTAGTGCTGTAAGGAAAGTACTGGACTGCTAACCACAGGGTCAGCAGTTCAAACCCACCAGCCACTACTTGGAAACCTCATAGAGGGTCGCTATAAGTAGGAACCAACTCCATGGCACTTAACAACAACAACATCTAGTTTCTTTGTGTAAGCTGAAATTGTATGTTTTCTCTGAGACATTATGGTGTCATATTTACATTTAGTTGATGGGTGTATATTGATGTATTCTCAGGCACTCACCACCTGTCACTTAGTGAATTTTGTAGAGACAAGAAGTGTGAATGCAGACAGTTCTTTGTTAACTGTTTGTTAGCATAGTTCAGGACTGTTTAAAATGCTTTCAAGGGAGAGGATCTATGTATGGTTGCCCAATCTCAGGAGAAGATGCCACTGGCCACTGTGTTTCAATGGTAAGGATGACCACACTTCTGGCTACCAAGAGAGCACAAGAACAAGGAAGACTAAATTTTGTAGTTATTATGTAGTTTCAAACATTTTTGTTTGCTACTATTTTTACTAGAGAACCAGATTTTTTTAAATTACAGGAGATTGCTTTCATATAATTATTCCAAGTACATCACATTCGTTAATAGTATGTCTGTCAGTTTGCCATACTGTGGTGGCTTCCATGTTACTTTGATTCTGGAAGCTATGCCAGCAGGGTCACCCATGGTGGACAGGTTTCAGATGAGCTTCCAGATGAATGTAGACAGACTAGGAAGAAGAAGAGATAGAATACTTTTGAATAGTCAGTCACTGAAAACCTTACAAGTAGCAGTGGAACACTGTCAGATAGCACAAGAATATTGAATATTGAAATATGATGAAGAGTACCAAAATTTTGTCAGATACAGTGCCAGAAAATGAGCTAGGACCTTCATTTGCTTTAAAGCTTTCAGGAGCACCACTAAAATTAGGAAAAACAGCTATAAACATTCATTAATAATCAGAACATAAAATGTACAAAGTATGGATCTAGGAAAATTGGAACTTGTCAGAAATGAAATGGAACATTCCATTTGATGGCAAGTGTAAATATCAATACCTAAGCATTAGTTAGCTGAAATTAACTGGTATTGTCATTTTGAATATGATTATCACATGGTTTACTATGCTGGGAATGACAAATTGAACAGAAATGGCATGGCATTTATCATCAGAAAGAACATTTCAAGATCTATCTTTAAGTACTATGCTGTCTGTGATAGGATGATATCCATACACCTACAAGGAAACCAGTTAATACAATTGTTATTCAGATTTACTCACCAACCCTAAAGCCAGTGATGATGAAATTGTAGAATTCTACCAACTTCTTCAATCTGTAATTGATCAAACATGCAAAATCAATAGGTATGGATAATTACTGGGGATTAGAATACAAAGGTTCAAAACAAAAGGATCAGTCATTGGAAAATAGGACTTTGGTGATAGAAATGATGCTGGAAAGCACATGATAGACTTTTGCAAGACCAATTACTGGTTTATTGCACATACATGTTTTAAACAACATAAAAGACAAGTATACATATGGACCTCACCAGATGGAATACACAGAAATCAAATTGACTGCATCTGTGGAATGAGATGGTGGATGAGCTCATATCTTCAGTAAAAACAAGGCCAGGGGCCAACTATGGATCAGATCATCAATTACTCATATGCAAGTTCAGGCCAAAGCTGAAGAAACTTAAAATAAGTCCACCAGAACCAAATTATGACCTTGAACGTAGCACACCTGAATATAGAGACCATCTGAAGAACAGATGTATAAGAAACTAATGAATGATTGAAGAACACAATAGTTGAGGGATGACATCAAGACATCATATAGGAAGAAAACAAAAAGTCATTAGGAAGGCAGGAAATATGAAAAAGACCAAAACAGATGTCAGAAGAGACTCTGAAACTTGCTCTCCAGCATAAAGATGCTAAAACAAATGGAATAAATGAAGAGATAAAAGAGCTGAATAGAAAATTTCAAAGGTCACCTAAAGAAAACAAAGTCAAATATTATAATGAAATGTGCAAAGACCTAGAGATAGAAGACTAAAAGGCTCAAGCAGAGGGAACTGAAAAAAATCCAAGCCTTGACTTGAAATATTGAAAGAATCTCTGGGCCAAATATTGAATGATGCAGAAAGCATCAAAAGAAGATGAAAGGAATACTCAGAGTCGCTGTATGAAAAAGAAATGGTCAGTATTCAACCATTTCAAAAAGTAAGCATATGATCAAGAGCCAGTAATACTAAAAGAAAAACTACAAAGTACACTGAAGGCATTGACAAAGAACAAGGCTCCAGGAATTGATGGAATTCAAACTGAAATCTTTCCACAAAATCTTGCTGTACTGGAGGCAGTCACTCATCTATGCCAAGAAATTTTGGAGGACAGCTACCTGGACAACTGATTGAAAGAGATGCATATTTGTGCCCATTCCAAAGAATGGTGGCCCAACAGAATGCAGAAATCATGGGACAATATAATTAAAATCACATGCAAGTAAAATTTTGCTAAAGATAATTTTAAAATAGCTGCAACAGTACATTGACAGGGAACTGCCAGAGGTTCAATCTGGATTCAGACAAGGACGTGGAATGAGGGTCAATGTCAAATGGATATTGACCGAAAGCAAACAGTATCAGAAAGGTATTTACTTGTGCTTTATTGACTATTCAAAGGCTTTAGATTGTGTGAAGGATAGCAAGCCATGGACAACATACAGAAAATGAATATTCAGGAACACTTAATTGTGCTCATGAGGAACCTGTACATAGATCAAAAGACAATTCAAAACTGATGATGTGCCCTGTAAACTTTCACTCAATCCACAATAAAAACCTTAAAAGAAAAAAAGAAAAAAAAGACAATTCAAACAAAACAATCAAGCTCTGAATAGTTTCAAATTAGGAAAGGTGTGCGCCAAGGCTTATTCTTTGACCACACTTATTTATGTTGGGTATATAATTTGAGAAGCAGGATTGTATGTAGAAAAACATGGCATCAGGATTGCAGCAAGACTCATTAACAGCCTGTGAAATGAAGATGATACAACCTTGCTTGCTGAAAGCGTAAAGGACTTGAAATACTTAACTGATGAAGCTCAAAGACCACAGCCTTCAGTATGGGTTGCACTTCAAGGTAAAGAAAGCAAAAATCCTCACCACTGGACCAATAAATAGCATCCATATTAATGGAGAAAAGATTAAAGTTGTCCAAGACTTCATTTTGCTCAGATCAACCATCATCATTCACGGAAGCATTAGGCACATTTGCTGTACAAAACCTCTTTAAAGTGTTCAAGAGCAAAGATGTCAGCTTGAGGACTAGGGTGCACCAAGTCATCATATTTTCAATAACCTCATATGCATGTGAAATTTGGACAATGAATAAAGAAGACCATAGAAAAATTGATGCATTTTAGTTAATGTGTTAGAAGAAACCATTAAAAGTACAATGGACCACAAAAGAACAAATAAAGCTGTGTTGGAAGTAGAGCTAGAATGCTCCTTAGAAGCAAGGGTGGCCAGACTTCATCTCGTATGTTGTCGTTGTTAAATACCGTGGAGCCGGTTCTGACTCATAGTGACCCTGCACAGGTGTCCGAGGCTGCAAATTTGTATGGGAACAGAAAGCCTTATCTTTCTCCCGCAGAACAGCTGGTAGTTTCGAACTGCTGACCCTGAGGATAGCAGCCCAATTTGTAACCACTGGATATAATATCAGCAGGTACCAGTCACTGATAAAGGACATCATACTTGTTAAAGCAGAGAGTCAAAAAAAAAAAAAAAAACAAAGACCCCCAACGAGATGGATTGGCACAGTGGCAACAGCATTGGGCTCATGCATAGGTTGGCACAAGACCGAGCAGTGCCCTCTTCTGTTCTGCATAAGGTCGCTATGAGTTAGTACCGACTCGACGGCACCTAACAGCAACAAGAACACATTGTTTACTTCATCACTTCACCTTTCTGAAAGCTAGAGATTTGTTAGAGTTTAAATATAACATTGAATTGCAGTTTATGTAGGGTTTTATATCCTAGTTAAGAATGTGATTTTGCTGTGTTATCTGTATTAAAGGCTGAATGACTATCATCTTCATTTTCCTCTTTTCAGATCATGTATCAGTTGGAGGACTTGGTGACAGCTTTTATGAATATTTGCTAAAGGCATGGTTAATGTCTGACAAGACAGATGTAGAAGCTAAGAAGATGTATTTTGATGCTGTTCAGGTAAACCTAATATTTATATAATCTTTGCCACTCAGTCTTAACTTATAATTTGCATATTAATCAAGTTTTATATAATGTTATACTATATGATTGAGTTATAAAGCATTTCCATTTAGAGTTCATTATCAGTTTCTATAATTATAACAATAGTCACACTTAATGTGCTTAGTTCTAGTAAGGAGTAAAAAGTTTTTACATGATTCAACCTCAGTTAGTATGAATATTCTGAAAGAGTGTTTCCTGCTTAAAGCCACAATTAAAACTACAGAAAAATGAAATCTTGCAGTATTTATCTAACACAAAATTCAGAATAGTCATGAAATAAGAAACAGGAAACACAGGGAGGAAATGGGATGAGTGATATTACATTGTGGGAAATACAGTCAGTGACATTAAACTAAATGTGTATGAATTGCTGAATGGAAAACTGATCTGCTCTGTAAAACTTCACCCAATTCACAATACAAAAAATTTCTTCTAAGAAAATTAAAATATCCCCATAAATGATCTGTCTCAATATAATATATAGAAGCTCTATGTGTATAGTTCTAGGAACTTGGGAAAATAGTTCAAAGAATATTTTAGAACTGTCTTTCTTGGAACATTAAGCACTTTGGAGGCTACTTTAAAATTAGAATAATTAAAATAAAGATCAGTAAGGTCTTGGAGTCCTGGTGTGGCACTATGGTTAATGTGCTGGATTGCAAAGTCAGCAGTTCAAGCTCACCAGCTGCTCCTTGGAAACCCTATAGAGGGTCACTATGGGTCGGAACCAACTTGAGAGCACTTATCAATAACAATAGTAGGGTAATTAGAAGATGGCACATTGGAAACTTCCAGACTCTATTTAAATGTTTACTCACACACAGAGATGTTAGAGACTACAAATCTGTAGGACGTAGCCAGTATAAAAGTGAAGTCAGAAATATCTCCAATGAAATACCATTCAAAAATAAAAATGGTTTTGGTGTGTTTCTCTGTGCTTCTGGTATGTATATGCATTTATGTGGGTGTGTGTTTAAAAAAAAAGTTGGGAAATGAACAAAGCAAGAAAAAATTTTATACAAAACACTTGAAGTCATACTCAGCTTCTCAGGAACTAACTATCATAGCAGAACCAGAAACATTATTTACTAATATATCAGGGCATTTGAAATGTTTTAAAGCTATGGCTAAGGCCTTAAAAATTTGACCTTTGTGTTTATCACATAGAATGTTCCTTAGAAGCCAGGATGATGAGACTTTGTCTCTCATTCTTTCATCATGTTGTCAGGAGGGATCAATCCCTGGAGAAGGACATAATGTTTGGTAAAGTGTAAGGTCAGCAAAAAAGAGGAAGACTCCCAATAAGATGAATTAGCACAGTGGCAACAGCAATGGCCAAGTGTAGCAATAATTGTGAAGATGGTGTAGGACTGAGCAGTGTTTCATTCTGTTGTGCAAAGGGTTGCTATGAGTGTGAACCAAACCAATGGCACCTAACAACAATAACAATTGAGCAATTAGAAATGTTTTCCAATCAAAATTAATAGTAGTATTTTGGGGGTTGTTTTTTTT